ATTTCATTAACGAGTTTTGCTTTTTCTATCGTTAGTGTGCGTAGGCTACCGAGAGTCGGGTCATTGGTGACTGCGGTTATCTCTGATTCTAGTAGCCGTAGGCTTGCTTGGGTTGCCGTTAGGAGACGAGTGTTGTTCGCAGCACGTCGTACCTTCGCCGTTTCAAGCCTGTTCCGGGTCTCCTCTGAGTACACCGGTGCTACCAACACTGTCTTTTTCAGGTTGCGTAGCTCATTGCTCATGTCGTCACCCATCGTTTGTCCAACGTGGATGACGATCTTCTCCCATGTGCGTATCATCTGGTCTGCCGTTCCAGATCCAGTTGTACCGAAGTTAAACACATGTTGGTCGAGGGCTTTGCATGAACCTTTCTGCTGGTTCGACGATGGGTTGGTTCTTCCATGCCCTCGTGCTTTGCCGACTCCTCGGCCACCTCGTCCTTTACCTCTACCGCTCATTGTCTATGCTACGGTAGGTGGACTATTTCAATTCGTTGTTTTTTGATTGACTAGCTCTTTTAATTTAAGTTCTCGTCCGACTACTTATTCGTCTTATGGCTATGGGGCGATAAACTTCAAATTATACTCCTGGCTAGGGAGTGTTAAATTTATTTACTAAAGATCTTGCAGGGAGGGAACGATTGCTTCACACACTGTGCGGTCGTTTCCACTCCGAACCCGTTTCTTTGTATTGTTGATTCCTTGTTGGGTGCCTTTCCTTTGGCCCCTGCGCTGGCACTATGGCTTTCGCGCTTGTTGTTGGCTCTGACAGTTCCGGCTGGATGCTGTCGGCTCTCCTATCGATGGCTCTCCTCGCCAATCGACCTGTCGGCAATCCTTGTGGATTCTGCCGACGAAACTCTCTCGCGTCGTCGCGATCCGTCCTCGGATCCTTGCGTCGTCGCGGTGCTGTCGATCCTTCGACAGTCTTTCTTCACTCGTGTGCCTTCAGTTCCACCGAAGGGCTTCTCTGTTGCTGTCGATGCTTCGACAGGCTTGGTCTCTATCGATCCTCTTCTTCGGCACGACGATCCTCGGTCGTCCGATCTTGATCTCACGTCGCGTTCGGCGTCGGCTTCGGCGTCGGCCGATACTCGCTCTTCTTGCGTTCTTCTCTTCGCGTCGCGATCTTCTTGCTTCCTGCTACCGTTGACTCGATAGGCTCCTCGTCGATAGTAGACCGCTTTTTCAATAGTATGTTAGTTGCTCTAAGCTCTCTTCTAGTAGTTACTGTTGCTATTGAGATACTATTGAAAAAGTGGGTGGGCTCTGTTTCCATGCTATTTCTACTGGCATGAAATTCTAGTACAGAGGTACAGGTTCAATCCCTAATCGCGAATCCCCAACATACCCCCTGTCCACCACCTTTTGAAGCTTTTCAGCTACCAAGCATCTTGTCTTCTCGTTCTTCTCGCGCTGCTGGTATTCCCAGAAACTGGGAGCTTCACTAAGGAAGTGGACAAGCAGTCCGTCTCGAATGAGGTGGAAAAACTCCTCCTGCCACCGCCAAAAGAAGGGTCGTGAACCGAAGTCCCATTCCCACCAGCTTGCTGCCATAGCTCTGGTTAGACAGTCTCTGGCCGCCAAAAGATCCATGCGCTTTTCAGTGGACTGGTGTTGCTTCCCGAAGCAGTCTTCATGCCACTTGGAATATGCTTTCCTTCCTCCCCCTTTCCACAGATAGCGGGGGAGTTCGTGCACCTGTATCTCTCCCGACTCATTCCTGACGCGAACCAGCCTGGTACCATCTCGTCTGACCAGCTTGGACGTCCGCTTGGAGACTTCCGGTGGTGGGAAGGCGTAGTTGTGGAAGTGATTTCCTCGATGCTGCTGGAACGGGAGCTTGTGTTTGTCACCAAACCACTTTACAAAGTCCCTCCTCAAGTGTGACTTCCACCACTTTATGACTCTCTTGAGGAGGAAGTTCATGATCAAGTCCATGGCACCTGATTGTGACCGATTCCAGTGCGCGGGGCCTTCGTCTAAACAGTGCTCTGTCCACAAGTGGGTCGGCACTGCAGCACCGTCATTTTTGACTGCTTTGCGTTCACGATCGTCCAATCGGATCGCACTCTGATCCACCTCGACCTTGGCCGACGACTGATGTAAGGATGGTAGAGCAGTTTCCTCGAAATCAGAGTCGTCGTCAGACTCGAGATCGAAATCTGAGTCGTCATTGGAGGACACAGATCCTGGACGAAGCTTTGGAATCGAGCAATCGGAGGAACTACCATCACTGTCATCATCGCAGCAACCGTCAGGGCGCCATCCCGAATAAGGAAAAGGGAAAAGAACCCCCCCCCGTAATCACATCCACCGGAGGGAGCAAGAGATCCTGATTGACCTCCAAAACAGTACGCAAACACGCCAGTGGAACAAAGTGACGCGGAATGCTCTCATCGAAAGGGTGTGGCTGTGCCTCGCCAATGTCAAACGCTTGTAAAAGTTCTCCAAAGGTGATCTGCTGAATACCCCAGAAACCTCGTCTGCAGAAACGTGAAGGAGTCAGGATAGAGGTGGCAGTTGTGGGTCGACTCGGCAACAGACCACGGCCGTGGTAAACAGGAGCGCCAGCGGCGTCTTCAGCCACCTGCAGCACCACCGGAACCCGAAATGAAAGAATCTCGGGGATGGGAGCCCGATCGGTACAAGGAGCACCGAACGACAGAATAGTACTGACGTCACGTTCCAATACAATAGGACGGATCGAGGGCCCGAAGCCATATCCTGTGCAGTACACAGGGCAAGACGTAGCCGTGACACCGCCACACGAGTCATGACCAAGGTCTGTGCGGGTAGTGGTCCAACCATCGGGAAGGCCTCGAGGACGTTGGGTGGACCAGACACACTTGACACCCCTGTGCTGAATGAGAGTCAGCTGACTGAGGGTCAAACGCACGTTCGTTAACAACATGACAGGAGACACCACAGGATCTTGAAACAAGGAAGCCACATTTTCCACGACCTCTAGTGCAACATCAGAAAGCTTTGTCCAATTTAGAACTGCCTGTGATTGTCCCTTCAGGACCACTCGGTCAACCCGAATCGAAGGACATCCGTCAACAGCCAGAAGCCAATCTGGATTGTCGGGATCCAAGATTAGCCATGCCGGAACTGGAATCAACGTGGGTCTGGTGGAACCCACCACTGTTCCACGCAGAGACTTGTTGTCGACTTTGACACGTTCATGGAGATGTGGTGGAGTTTCAGCCGAAAAGTCAGCAGGAGTTGAACGCGACTGGGGCTTCATAGAGGTAGGCTCAGCCGGGACTGTCGCTTCGCTAGAAACGGGGGTCTCAACAGGAGTATCCATTTTGTCGACAAGCATCGATGCAGGCGGCTGAACATCCGATCGCTTGGAGAACACCTTCGGTGGAGGAGGTTCAGGCTCCGGTCGCTTGGAAACCACAATGCGTGGTGTGGAATCCAATACGACCTTGCCTACTTCCTACTTCTTCTTCTCAAGTGCAGCAAGACGATTTCCACAGGATTGTTTCCACGTCTTCAGTTCAGCCGAAAGAGTAACCACGTCTTTTTCAACCAATTTTGTTCCTTTAGTCGAGTCTACTACTGACTTCTCGAGAGCGACCACTTTAGACAGGTCGACACGATTTTTCATGATGAAGTTCGTCATAGCCGTCGTGGTAACGTGGTGTGCCTTGTACTTCGCTTCCTTGAGTTCCTCCATTCGGATGTGGACTTGAAGAAGAGCCCAGATAATTTTGGCCTTTGTGGCATTGGACGTAAGATCGGAGAGCCCGGACACCACCGTGTGTGGAGCAACCAGATAGTCCGCGACTGACCTTGTGTGGAAACCAAGGAATGTCCATGCTCTAGTGGGCTCATAGTCACACTGATCGACCAGTTCATTGCGCCATTCGGTAATGAAGTTTAGCCAGTCAATCACGTGATTTAGAGCTTCACTCAATGTTTGCCGAGCCAGGTCTGAGGCTAGACCGGAACTGTCGATGGCACCCTTCAAAGTCTTTACCCGTTTGCGGCACTTGTTGATGATATCCTGTCGAACCGGATTAGTTTGGCGTGTGGAGAAAGCACTAAACGTCTTCATCCGCCACCCAAATCCCTCTTCTGGTTCAACCACGCACTTGTTTGTCTCTGTCTTGGCAAACATGTACAGTGGTGCTGAGTGATCTAAAGCTGCCAACAAATCCACTTCCAAAGGCGTTGAGTGAATGCTTTGTGATGCACGAGCCTTGTCTGCATATGCCTTTCCGTTGGCGAATTCGTCTTGGATACAGCAGATTAGAGTGAGCACATCCGCATAACAAGCCGTAGACACGTTCTTGATGTCTTCTCCCAAGACCATCAGAACATCTTCTTCGGATCCAATGTTGTAACCATTGAACTCATAAGTATTTAGGCCCGTCATCCTTCGACGAATGTCGCTGCAATTTTCTTCCAAGTCAGAGATCTTGGAATCCAGATCTCCGTCGAATTGTCGACGATTTAGCGAAGCAACATCGGAAGTGATGTTGTCCACAATGATCTGAAGACTCTTCAGATGAGAATTGATTTCTGCATCCTTGGCCTGGTCAAAACGTGTTCCCAAAGAGGTAGACGACATACCGGATATCGGAGTTGCTGGTGCACCTCCTCGATGGTCTCTCCACTTGGATTCCAGAGTCGCCACCCTATCTTGCAAGTTAGGCGTGGTCTTCTTGTAGGCTGCCGTCAACTGTAAGAAATCTCTGGTTCCCTTGGTGAGCTTTACACCAAGATTAGAAACCCCGATGCTAGCGTCTTCTGCCAAGGCTTCGCCAGCTGCTGCCAGATCCCACAAGATGGAATACTGGGATTCCATTTGCTGTTTGGGGCAGTCCCCCACTTTGGATATGAGCATCCTCAAGCTCGAACCCAAGTCTCCAACAAGATCGAGTCTTTTCAATTCTTGGTCTTGTTGATGAACCAGCGCTGCTCCTAGAGACTCGAGTTGGTTCCTTTGATCCCGTACAGACGTGAGAAGTGCTTGTACGAGGTCCTTTACTGGACCATCTTGAACTTCCTTGAGAGCGTCTTTGAGGGGTTTTTATTGATGCCACCAGCAAGAGTTTGTTCGAGCTTTGCCTGTTCACGAGCAACTTTCTCTTGTTCTTGCTTGATATGAATGTTCATCTTCATAGGAGTGGCCACATTGCGGAACGACGTAGCCAATTGCTTGACTGTCTTGTGTACCGGAGCTGAGGTAGCCCATGATACCGAGGCAGGCACCTCAGCCGCAAAACCTCTTACTGATGCAATTCGATCCTCGAACGCTGTACAGAGAGCGTCAATTGGCTGATCAGATACACTCCAAGATCTGATATCCACTTGGACTTCTGTTGGACATTGCGATAAGTTAACTGTGGGTTCGACCCAGGCAAAGTGCTTCTTCTTGTCTTTGTCTTTCACGAACCCATCCAGCCTGACCTTGAATCTGTGGGTTTTGTGAGAGGCAATTCGACACGCCCCGCTCAAGCAGATTTTGCCACCCTTAATTCCTCCTATGATGCCACCGCAATGGAGGTCTCCAAAAGTACTGCCAACGACAACAATCCTCGCCAAGATGCCTTGCTTACCTGCTGCTTCCTCTCTACTCAGAGTGCCAGTAGAGGGGCGTCCCGCGCGACCTTCATTGATGGATGTTCCTCTTTGCTCGCTGAGAACCGAGGGCAGAACCACATCGCCAACTCTCTCATCTTCAAGAGGAGGAGGAGGATTGAGGTTCACGCTACCCAAGTCAAACTCAGTTTCGCTGCCCACAATTTCAACAGCCGGCGGATCGGAGCCGCGGCTATCAAAGGATCTGGAATCTTTCATATTGCTTCTATCGTATCTCTTACGTATCAACTCTTTCACTTCCGACCACACGTGGTCTTGACCACTTTCAAGCTAGCGACGGCTTGTTGTTGATCCAGAATGGGGCACTACACCTACGGCGTTTATCTTTCTACTGAGGAAGTCTATTAAAACCCCCACGTAAAAAAGAACAGTGAGCCGAGTACGCACCGGAGGTGGGTGGAGGCAGAGCAACCCAGCAAAGGAGTTGAGGAGAAAAAAAGCGATTTCATGGCGTTGAAATGAAAGATATACAGAAAAGCGGGTGGAGGAGAGGCGGCGAGACGGACGAAAGAAAACTTCTGCAGAGGACATGGGATGTACTTTCAGGCTGATCAATGCCAGATAGCTCAACCCATGTCTATGCAGACTCAATCAAGCAGCAGGCAAGATGGATCTTGACAAACAAATATTGTGAGGCTTGTTTTGGATAGAGTCAAAGCGAGTGACCAAGTCATCTCAGTAACTCTAATCCAAATTGTGCCTTGAATCCTTCTCTGATATCTGTATCTAGCCTTAACCCTGCTTAGCTAGGGCGCGCTTGGGCCTTGAAGTGGACTTTGATGAGATGCTCCAACTCGACCAACGAAAAGGACGGAGCCAAGCTAGATTTGGAGAAGCGGCCTTTATTGGTGCTAACATGGAAGAATTCTCATTGGGCGGTGTCACCCGGGACACAGGACAACTCCAAGAAGGTATTACTACTTGTCCCAATCATTTTGCGACCGACGACTCTGTGCAGAACACCCAAAATTCTAGTGAAAGCCCCGGAACAAACAGGGAAAACTACACCAATCCCTTCAAACGACGATTTATCTATGGACGACAACAGTGCCATTGCAAAAAAGCCTGTTAACCTTCAAGATGAGGACACTGACGATAATATACGTCAGTCTCTAACAAACTTACTGATGAAGCATTTATTTAAGCCTTTTCTACCAAAGCTACACAAATTTCTGTACCGTAGACAAATAATTATTTAGGCCCATTTTATTGATTTAACTGTAATGCACCTAAAATGGCACTTTTAAATAAGCCCTTCCCTATTGTACTTAAAGGAAAATTGTAAAGTTCTTTTTTTCAATCACACTTCAAATTGCAGAGTTCTTTGCTTTTAACAAAATGTCTAAAATATAAATGTGCTATATTTAGATAGCATAATACTCACCTAGTAGATTCTAGCAAATTAAACAAATTAATAATTATACCAGCAAACTAGAATATATTATACAATGAAAGAAAACAATCTAGCTAATTAATAGCTCTGTATGCAGCTGATAGCTAAAAGAACCATTAGTAGATATATTGATCCAAGTGCTACTTGAGCAAGTTTAACACTGTGGATCTCATGGCAATGAGCCATCACTACGAACTGTGGGTATTAATAAAATGGAAGGTTCAAATTCCACAATAAGGATTTCTGAGCATTTCATATTTACTAAGAGAATCAAGAATTCTACCAAATGATTATCACTGTTTTCAAATATTATTGGGCTAAGTGTTTTCTTAAATTTTGCAAATTGCTCCTGTCAATGACTCAACTGAATTGCTGACATTTTGGGTAGTTAAGACCCACTTTATTACCTTCCAAAGCTATATTAGACATATTCGTTCATGTTTGTATAGCATGGTTATAGGTATTGTACATTTGCACACATATGCTACATATAACACACTCAGTCTACCTTCCAAAGTTTTATGCATATTTGGTTCATGTTTGCATAAAATGGATATATGTATTTTTTAAATCCTGCAAAGTTTTCCTATCACTGATTCAACTGCATTGCTGACGTTTTGCATATATATATGTGTATATGTATGCACACTCATTTCTCTCTTAAAGGCTTAGATATCTCTGTTTCATGTTTACTTATTAGATTTGTACGTATGACAATATTCTGATTATTGTTATGTGGCATAGTGTGTTGCTGAGACGTAGTGGCTCCTTCAATAATGTCTTGATTGTCCGCATCTCATTGTATATTTTTCTTGTTGTTGTTGTTGTTAATTAACTTGCCTCCGGTTTTTATAAAGTTCTTGTTGTTCCAACTTCTAATTGATTTTTGACTTGGATATTTTGACACAACAACTTGTTTTCTTAATTCAAAACTTTATAGTCTCTTTTAAAAAATGATTTTTAAATGTTATAAAAAGTGGGCATATATAATTTACGTGTTCAACTACCATATTTAAAGTTTTCAAAAGCGAACCTAGCTTACCAAGTTTGCTCTAAATACCAATTACATAACTAAAAGAACTCGCACTACCGCAATTACAGCATTAGAACCATAAAGTGTACTACAAAACAAGCACAAGCTAATGCATTTGTGAATCTAATGGACGAACATACCAACACTTCACCGACGTCATGCGTCTCCTCTACGGAAAACGCAAGTCAGATTCATACGCAAGACACTTCGCCAACGAATTCCAAAACTTCGCATCTCCTTCACCATTCCGACTCAACGGCGATATTCAAAGGAACAGCATCGAAATTAGCATCCTATGGCAAGGCAACCCCATCAGCACTGTCAAGACCTTCGGGACACGACACTGCAGCCTATGCAACAGGGAGCGACTCGAGATACTGAAACGATCCAGAGAATCGCCAGAAAACCTGATCAACTCCTGCAACGAAATATATGGAGCATGCCGACATAAACCTCGATTTCATAAGTACCACAATAGCCCAAGCACTGATGATTCCCAAGGGGGATGAAAAAGTCAAACAACCGAAAAGTTACCACAGAGTAAAGCCTGTGTTTTGGCGATTCGGCAGTTTGTGCTGATCAAGAGTAAAACTACTTAATTCAGTCACTTTTTGCTAAAATCGTATGGTACTATTTCAGTCTACTAAGGAGTGCTGATTGCAATACCGCAAGATGTCATCCCTTCTCAATAAATCAGTAAGGTGGAGATATCCAGATGCAGCCACCAAAGAGTGATAAACAACCAGAAACAACAAAGAGAGTATCTCAAGGACACTACTATGAGAGAACTACCACACAAACACATTGCCTTTGAACGTTGTGTTCACGACCCTAGGGGGAGCCACTGAGGAGCATGGAGTTTTGTAATAAATTTATTTTATTGAAAGCAAAAGGTTAGAAATAAAGAAAGAGAAAGCGGTGGAAACCTGCATAAAAAATGTAATAAAGTAGCTATTTAGTAGCTAGCGAGGTAGAGCACCACAGCCTCGTAGTCTCCTAGACCTCTAAGCTTGGACTTCATGGCGTCGGTACAGTATGTCACCTGGATGGTGGTTGCACCTGTCTTGAGAATGTTCTCATAGGATCGAGTCGACTTGTCATAGATGGATGACTTTGCCTTGTACTCGCTGAGTTCCAAGGCATCGTATTCTTGTGCTTTGGGATCAGTAAGTGACACTTGGAGTGTAGGCTTGGTCGGCTTGGTAGGTGCCTGACTTGTCATGGTCTCAATGGCCAATGAAGCCAGTGGCACATCATTCCACTCAGGCTTGATCCTTAGGTCCTGGACAATGTGTGTCAGGGTCTCCTCAAAAGGATAATACCTGGTATCAGCCTGTCCATTTGGATGGAAGAGGAACTGACGCTTGGAACTCTTGTTCTAGTTCCTGTAGCTGTTGCCTCTTCCTTGATGGCTTCTTCCTGAGGAATTGAATCCCCTACCCCCCCTAGAAGGGTATCTTCCTCCACCACGACCACCTCTTCCTTGGAATCTCATGGTTGCCGTTGGTGTGGTATTGCACTGTTGTGCTGTGCTTGTTCCTTGGAACTAGCTTGTGTTCTTGTGTGGATACTCCTGCAGGAAGGATCTCACGTTGAATAGCACTGCTTCGTGACTATTCAAAAAGCTTGCTTGTTGGCTGGATAGCCTTCTTCTGGTCACTCGTGGTGTACCTGTTGGTGGCTGGATAGCCTCTGTCTTTGACAGCTCACGGAATTCCTGGGGAAAACTCGTGGTATTGTTCACGTAGGACGTGATGGAGCCTTGGGTAGTAGCGAACTGCCACTGATGGTCCTTTCGTTGCCTCTGCAAAGCTTGCAGATGGTCTTGGTATGCTTAGATGAGCGCACTGAGTGAGTTACAGTTGCTGGAACACCTTTGTCGTTGAGTTTCAGATCTCCGAGTTGTTACCGGGATTCTTGTGTTTCACGTCACAATAGCAGGAAATACTCGAATCAACCTATCTCACTCAATATCGGGAGTTAGTCGCTTTCAAGGATAGCCGCAGCTCTGTAGTCGTGTTGCGCAACTTCCTCTCTATCGTGTCGATGCCTTGCAATGTCCACAACAGTCGATAGGTAGATCGGCAACTGTTGACTTTCGCTCGTCGTGATGTGACGTATTGAACTCCTGATTTCACGCGATTGAAGATAACTCACTGGATAACAGACGGATTTCCTTGATTCCAGCACGTAACCTGTTCAGTTCACCGTGCTCTTTTCACTGGTATCTTCAGATGTACACAGTTCCGGCCGGAAACTGTTAGACGATCATCGTACCTTGATTTTCCTCTTGAAGATGGGAATCCCGCGCAAGCACCTCTTTCGTGTTAGAGCTGTTTGCCTATGCTGATAGTGTGGCTAGAGGCTGATTCTTCGCACATCTGCTCTGTTGCAGTAGTTATCTCTCTTCAAGTCAACTCAACTTGATGTCTTTGACTTGATTTACCTTGATATTGATCTCGAGATCGGTAGTAGCTCGAGATGGCCTTTTGCTTTTCAGTGTTGTTTGCTAGTAATACTGCAGCTTATTGGGGAGTAATTTGGTTTTAGATTAAGCTGAAAAGCAAAAGTGAGGATTTTCTGGTGGTGCATAGCAATTCTTGTGATTGAATTGGATATAAGGACCTCCGTAACACTTTAGACCTAAAACTCCCTTGGTTCCTTGCATGATGAATTTGCATGCGAACCGGACTAGATGATTAATACACGAGTCAATAGTAAAGAGGTGTCAGGTATATTTCCTCCAACACCTGGCGACGACCTTCAAGGCCAACACCCTTATTCAGATGAGGAAAATGATGGAATATGGAGATGCTCCTGGAGTTCCAGGCGACGGATACTTCCGAGGGATGAGCATCAATGTGAGTGGACTGGCTAGGAAATTTAATGAATGCACGACGATAGATAATGTATTGTTCATCTTGAAAAACAGAGCACCTGATGCGTGGCAATTCAAGAAACTGGGATCAACTTGAGGAACGCTGACTCCAAAGGCCAATGGAAATCACGCCTTGGATGAGACACACAATTGGATGGTCGCAATACCAAAACAGTTGTGGCATACGATGAAAATGATCATACTTCATCTGTGCAACAATGGGGTGGAACTGCTATCATTGCGCAAGGAGACACAACGAAATGGGCAGCAGGTGCTGGCCGTGACCCTACTGGATTAGGCAGATGGTGTTGGACTCAATACCAGTGCAGTGGTAACACATTCTTTCGGTATGTCTCTGTCTATCGCCCGGTAAAAAGTCCTGACAAACCCTCCAGTGCATATGCAAAACAGAAAGCTTACCTTCAAAGAAATGATGATGATTGATGTCCTCGACAGGCGATCCTCGATGATCTAGGCACAGAGATTGATTTGTATGTGGCGATTGGAATGACGATGTCACAAGTAAGACAATCTCATCCTTCTTCTTCGAAGCCAGACAATTATTCAATCTGATCTTCCAACTCCACGATCCCATTACTGCATCAGAAACTTGTCGTATAACCAGTCCAATGTGTCAGTTGATGGTATCTATGGATCCGCCGGTATCACTCCAACCAAAGCAGGTTACCTGTCTTATGACGACTCACCTGCAGACCACCGAGTCCTTTGGTTTGATGTGAAACTCCATCAAATGCTTGGACATGACCCTCCCCCGATCTGGAAACCTCACTGCCGACAATTGCAATTGCAAGACCTGCGATGCATCAAGAAGTACAACAAGATCTACAAGGAAGGTATCTACTACTACCAACTACCCCAACGACAGTTCCACCTGGAATCTCCATCATTGGCACAACTATGACACCTGTTCAACTCGCTGAGGCAAATCGAATTGATCAGGTTACAACCCAGTGCCAACTCTATGCAGAAAAGCACTGCCGCAAACTCAAGACGGGTGCAATCCAATTCTCAATGGCAACAGCACAACCCATGCGACGGATCAAGGTCTGGAGGATTGCAATCAAGCGACGATTGGGCAAAGGCAGGATCAAATCCAAACACTGGAGCCGGGCCAAAAAGAAAGCAAAGGTGACCAAGTCCACTAGAGTCAACACTGAGGAGTTTAGCTCAGTCTCTCACACGCTTAATTGTGAAGCATTTATTTAAGCCTTTCCTACCAAGGCTACACAAAAAGTAGTAACTTAGACAAACCCGAAGGAGTAAGATTTGATGAATGCAAACCACAATACTACTATTTTACTATACGTCTGTACAATGGATTGTAAACATGTTACATTATTCCTGACTTTTTATTATGCCTACAGAAAGTAGCGCATGTGTCGCGAACTATTGAAACGTACACTATCACTATACGATTTCATTCAATGAAGGATTCAAAATAATGGCATATATGCCTGTGCAGGGTAGAGAATGTCCTATTCTTGCTGGTAAACCGAAAGATATATAGTAAAACTATTCGAATTCTGCATAGGCTCGCCTTTGCACCCCTTAGCATAATTTACTATACCTTTTCCTGTATGAATCTACCTACAAGTTAATTCATGAATTAGTACTGTTTTACTATACGTACTCGCTCTATGCTGGATTCGTGTTCCGTTTGGCGATTCGATGCTTGTTTCAATGGTCACTTTTACTTAAGCCTGTGCAATTTTTACTGGTTACCAGGAGATATAAGGTCGATAGTTCGAATCCTGCATACAAGCGCTTTTGCACCCCTACAGGCTTTTACTATGTATTATACTGTATGAATCTACATACAACTGCACCCACAAACTCTCATAATGTGTCCTTGTGACAAGCCAGTAAATATATATGCGAGTCCTGCATATCAACGCTTTTACGCGTTATTTACTATACAAAGTACTGGACGAATCTACTTATTCAATATACGAAAAGGAATTTGATACCGTTGATGCAAACCACTGTGGGAATCTATAGTAAAATAGTAGGATTATGCTTTGCCACCACGAAATTGTGGTCTATCTCACATCTCACTGTTCAGCTCGTTGGCAACCTTGATTACAGCGCCTTTCTAGCCCTTTCTATTTCTTTATCTCTAATCCTTGTATTTTAATAAAATAATTTAATTTCAATTTAAACAAAGTGCACGCTCCTCAGTGGCTCCCCCTAGGGTCGTTATGACCGTTGCCGACATGCGCTCGGACCTCAAGCAAGCCTACGCCGATTACAAGATGGCTAAAGTCAACCATCGAGCCTCCCGCAAGGACTTCATTTCTACGTCTTGGCGGCTGAGGAATCTCGGCGCAAGGGTGCCATGAGCCGATTCATTAATGACAAACTCCAGAATGGGGCTGTCACTTCGTGCCTTTGATCCACCATGGAAGATGGCACAGAAGTGGGTACTACTGAATGTATCACTAAAGAATCTATTGAGGAGGTCATGCTCGAGGTCAATTCCACTAAGTATCAGCAATGCATGAACTCACAATTCATGCAAGACCCACTCCTGTCTGAACTTGGATACATTGGTAACACAGACACTGCAGAGGAAATCTTGCAAGGTAGTTACCAGTGCTCCCCTGTACTTAATCAGTACACCCAAGCAGTGATCCAACACATGAGAATCCCTCCAGGCCTCCACGTTCCTCAAAGCATTGCACATGTTCCTACGCCGGACCATACAGCCGCCTGAAAGGTTTGCTTAAATTACTTGTTAGATTAACAATCTAGGGCCACGGAGTGACTTTAATGACGCGGGCAATGGATGGGGAACCCCACCTAGCTGAGTCGTCATCCACTAAATTGCCGCACAGTGTCAAATCAGTCTCAAGAGTCCCGGATGGAGCCCCCATCAGTGGATAATGCTGCATGGATGCAGGAGAAGGGGACAAGGCAGCACCTGGAGCGCAGGGCAATACCCAGGGTTTGAAAAGCATTTACTCGTGGTTCGTAGTTCGTCCAGTCTGTAGGTAATTTTGCATAGATCGTTCAAGTTGTCGTGTGGTTGGGCGGTGGTATGTAGTGCGGAGTCGGCCGTAAGCAGCGCGCGTCAGCTTGATGGTCTCCAGCCAGCGTAGTGTTTTCGGGAGGGAGAGATTGAGGTTAATTTCGCGGTATTCAAGGTCAAGGCGCCATCGTTCAGTGGGAGGTAAGGTGGCATCACCTTTTGTGTATTCTTTCAGGACCTCCTGGCGAAGGTTGGAGAGGTTGGAGAGGTGGGAGAGTTGAGTGGGGGTTGGTTTCGCACCGTGTAGTGCATCGTTTCTGTGCTCCCACATTCGGAAGTGGAGCATCCAAAGTTCATTTGCCAAGGCAGTTGCCCAGCTGGTGCCATCACCTTGTTTGCCAATAGAGTGTAGGTGGATCTCATGGGCAGTGTAGAGGGGGATTGCGATTCGGCCAAGTAGAAGATTCCACCAGCCCAGTTTGGCCTGAGCACGGAGCCCGGTGACAGTGCTAGGAGTTCCAGATCCCATTCAGAGGGAGGTGTTGTTTCCCTTTTGCCAATGATGGCTGGAGCTGGGTCAGAATCTGTTTGGTCATCATGGGGTCAGTGTGACGCTTGTGCAACCAGGTTTTCAACTTGGAAATCTCCTGGTTCCACTGTTGGATGGATGCTGGATCTTGGCAGCGAAGCACATGGAGGGTGTCTTCGTCGTCTGTTCCACACCATGGGCAATCACTGTGAGCCTGCCATGGCAGCGTTGCAACTGTCGTCCAACACCACAGTGGCCAGTGGCATGTTTGGTGACGAATCGTTGAATGCCAAGTGGTGCCTTCCTCATTGCCCTGCCCATTGCCTCCCAGTTGATGATATCACATCTCTCTGTCCATTCTGCCTCTGAACATCTGAGAAACGCATCTGAAGGTAGGATACCAATCTACAAGGTAGGTTATCGATTAAAGTCGAAGGTTGACCCTACGATACAAATCGTGAAGGGAGGTTGCGGATTATGCACCAAAGCTTCTGGTTCCCCATGAAACAGTACTTACAAATCCGTTAAAGGCATGCTCAATGATCCAGTACGGCCCGTTTAACAAACCTACACCCTCGTTGTTCACAATGCGCGTGGTGGACACCGTGCATAACTTGAAGCATGTCTGGATCATTGGTAATTAAAAAGGATCGGCTTTAAATAGTTCTTTCCCTCCGAACAAAGATGTTTACCGTATAAAGCAGGATCCAGTACCTAGCCGAATGGAAGGGCAATTCCTACTTAACAGTCATGCAAAGCATCCAAAAACACGGCGAACGTGCTTCCAAATTAAGAGTTTCTAGGATACTAATCACTAAGTACAGTTCGGGAAACTATACCAAAAGAGGGGAAGATTGGGATAATATTGGGGTTAGAATCTTTAAGGATACTACTGGCGAATACTGCAGCGAGAGGTTTCGAACAACAACAATCGGGAGACAAGATTGTCATGGTTAACAGGAATAAAAAGGGGAGAAAGGTTACCGAATAAGTAACCGAACATCGCATCGATTAACAAGGTGCGGAAAGAAAACAGGGTGGCATTGGATGCAAAACAGCAACTCGGGAGGCAACCAAACAATGACGGAATAGGTAACAGCCGCCATGGTAGCCATGCCAAAAGAGAAGGAATGAGGGGGAAAAGCAAGGCAAAGGACCCCCTGGATTTGGGAGCGTAGCATGCCAAATGGCAACCTTTGGCTCTAGTTTTGGAACCTTGGCCACCTACAAGCCCAAGCTAAGCTTCACCCCGGATGGCGCTTTCTTCTTCTTCTTCTTGGGGGGCTCACTATCATCTTAACCATCCATACCAAAGGCATCGATGCGGACTCGTGCAAGGATGGCCTCTTCTACTTCTTGAGCATGAGGCTGTGCTCTTGAATCCACAACCTGCTGCCGCAAGTCCTCAAAACGTGCAAGTCTGGCATCAGTCCACCCTCCAAATTCGCAATTTCCACCCTTGCCATTGGAGTACCGGCCATCATGTTTCCCATTCTTATCTTCTGCTTTGGACCTTGGGACCGCCTTCTTCTCCTTGCACCTGTTTGCCAAGGCGAAGTATGCAGGCCACTTTCCTGGCAAATTCAGAAGATTGCCTTCCTTATCCCTTGCATCAGGATCCGGAGTGGCACCATTCTCAAAAAAAGAGGACAGCCATAGCTTCCGTATTGGGAGGCACGCAAACATCACCCTCATATGTTGCTTCCGAAATGGTGCTATGCACACGGATCCCTTGCCTCCACCACTTGGATGCGCCAGCCACTTGTGCATGGAAGCAGTTCCACCACCACACAGCCTTCTTCATCAGGTCCTCATGAGCAGCCTTTTCTTCATCAGTGGCATCCTCCTTTGGGGGAATCAACACCTTGTCTTGGTTCATAATCTTGAAGAAGTCATCCATGGAGGGGAAGTCAGCCATCTCCTTCTCCGCAACAAACTTCTTCACATGGTTGAAGCACTGGCTCTGCACATAGCTGCGGGCTTTGTTCAGATGACGACAGACCTGCTTCCACCAAAGGATGTTGAACTGTTCGCGATTCCTCTGAATCCCTAAGAAAGCAGCATGCAGAAAGGAAGGCGAATGGTGTGAGATCTGCAAGGTGCACATGGCAATCGATAAGCAAAACCACCCAATTGCTTACGTCGGTCCTTCTTTGCATTGCCGGTCAGGGTCAATGCGGGGTGGCCCAACTTATCCATGACCAAGTTGCACAAGAGTTCCTTCTGTTCTTGTTCATTGATGAACTTGACCAGGCGATACACCTCGTAAAGCATGCAGTTATACAATGCAATCCACATGTTGTCTTTTTCATTGCTAGGGTCTCCCATCTTGAACTCGCCACCTTCCGAATAGGCAAACTTTTTATCCGGACTTGCATCTGAACCACCCAAACTCACTGACGCTGGTGGCGGAGCCTTGGCAGTGGTAGGTTCGCTTTGACCACGAAGAGCCTTCTGCATCCTGTAGTACTCCTTTGCCATCTGCTTCCTGGTGTACTTCTGAAACTCCTTTTTGGATGGAGACTGGAAAGAATCGGCTGTAGAATCGTGGGAATATTCATCCTCATCCTCCTCCTCATCAGTGGAAAGCTCACGGTCCATGAGTTGTTCTTCTTGTTCTTTCTTGCTCTTGTCGCTCTTCCTTGTCTCTTTTCCACTTCTCTTCTGTTCCGAACGGGACTTGCCACCAATGGAAGATCCTCCATTCATCTAAGAAGCGCATTTTTAGGTAGTGCTAGAATCGACATGCGTGCAGGTACCAAACGCCAACCAGCACGATCCCGATCCGTGACGTAATTTCTTCCAAGAATGCGTGCAGTGATTGGAATTGGGATTGTGTGTTCCACATGGGCATGCAACGAAGGCCCGCCCGGCAAGACTGCCTGCTTCACGATTTGGGATCCACTTTTTGGACCGTCTTTTCGGGAAGGCAAACTCTCTCTTTGGTACCATAAACTATATCCCGATTGGTAAGCGGGCGGTTCCCCAGCACACAGAATCCAAATCACCAGCCAGTGCGCCTAGCTAGTACTAGTAGCAGCTAGTGTTGGCTAGCTAGCT